GTTTCCTAACTATCGTATTACACAGGGACTATTGTTTGAAAAAACTGATGTGCATGACAGTCTTTGTATACCGAATGTAGAAGAGATCAAGAGTTTGATCTTAGGGGAATGTCACGATACTGAAGGTCATTTCGGGTGGAAGAAGACTTACGTAAGCCTTTTGCGTTCCTACATCTGGCCTCGCATGAAACCGGACTGCATCGCATATGTGCAAGGCTGTCAAGTGTGCCAAAGAAACAAGAGCATCACACAACCTCCCCTTGGTCTACTTAAGCCTCTACCTATTCCAACTGGTCCAGGAGACTGTCTGTCCATCAATTTATGGACACTAAGGTAAAAAGCAGGAATGGAAAGACGCAAGTCATGGTCATTGTTGATAGGTTTAGTAAATATATTGTATTCGTACCATTGCCAGCGGAAACGAAGACAAAATTAGTAATTCGGAAATTCTTTAACCATTGGGTAAAGGATTATGGACATCCCTTAACGATTGTGAGTGACAGAGATTCACGGTTCACGAGTGAACAGTCGCAGCAACTAATGAACGTCTATGGCTCCAAGTTGACTATGTCATCAAGTAGGCACCCTGAAACAAATGGTCAGACTGAGCAAATGAACAAGATTTTGCAGCAAACTTTGCGTATGTACATACGTCCCGACCAGATTGATGGGGATGAACATTTGCCCAAAGTTGCTGGTGCCTATAACAACTCTGTTCACCTATCTACATGTAGAACTCCGATGGAACTGCATTTGGGATTGCGACCCCGTAGGCCCATGGATCGCCTGAATCTGGACCAAGTACATAAACTTTCATTGGGTACAAGTGAATTTGCGATACAGTATCAAAAGGATATTGAGAAAGTGAAGGAAAATATAGTAAAGGCACAACATCAGATGATAGAGCAGGTAAATAAGCACAGAAGGCCTTGTCAACTTGCTGTAGGTGATATGGTATGGGTGAAGTCTAAGGAATTTGTTCCTGAAGAAAACATCTCTCATGAATTATTACCCGCCTACAGAGGACCTTGGCAAGTTCTTGATGTAATTGGGGATGTGGATGGATCTTCTTATGTGATTGAAATTACTCTATATTTGCATACATATCCAGTCTTTCACGCTTCGAAGCTTTTACCCTGCGTGACAAACGAGTTATTTCCCAGTCGCAGATCAGTGATACCTCCTAGTATGGATGGGAAGTATGACGTGGATAAGATTGTTGTTGAAAGCACTCTCCAAGCTGGACGTAGAGGCAGACCCCAACGACAATACAAAGTAAGATTTGCATATCAAGATCCAAGTGAAGATCGATGGTTCACAAGAGAAGAATTAATTGAGTCTGCGCCTCATATTGTATCTGCTTATGAAAGTGAAAGAAGAGGATTAAGTATTATAGATAGATGAAGATTTTCTCAGAGGACCTCGAAACAAGGCCGGCGAGAGTAAAAGGGCCTTACCCGATTCAACCCCTGTTTGACAAATGCAGCATAGAGGGGTCTCTCACCCAGAGCCCCAACTCGTGAAAGCAGATCAAAGGACATGTTCTCTGGGTCAAAAGTCACATCTTAACGAAGTAAAAGTCAATGTCAAAGGTCATAGTTGTGCCCCTGGACGAACAATTGCATATGGGAGTCACATCTGTTCATAGAAGGGTTAGTAAGTAGTCTTCAGTGAGTAGCATTCAGAGTAGATTCTCGTAGACAGGGAGTGTGCATGCATGTTGAGTGAAGGGAACAAGGACAGAGATCTTGATAGAAGAGTAAGAGAGAAGAGACAGGTCATGATGCTGGATATGGAAGATACTTACCTGTTGGCGCTACACTTGTGATCTGGGGCAGACGCTGTCTGAGCCAGGCCCTGTGTGTATGGTTGATCGAGGGAGAAACCTGTACTACTCTTGAGCTTGAGATACTCTTGTTTAACGTGATTTGATAATATAAGTTGCGCTATCTGGTTCTATCTCATCTTGTCTCAACTTGACTTTGTGTGTGTGAGACACTCAATCTGTGTGTGTTGATACTTGCACATGCTAAAAGATACACTCCAGCAAGTTGTGGTCAGTCAGGACCCTTGCAGATTCATGTTGGGGTTTAGTCGTTTGACAAAAGTTCCAAACATCTTGTACGTATTGTTTGAATTATGAAAGGGAAAGGAGAGAGGTGTTGAACTTGTAGAAACCTTTTTCTTGATCCGGTTTCTTCCTAAAAGAGAGAAATACTGCACACATCTTATGGTCAGCGTTTGGCCAGGGACTTTGTGGAAAAATGGTTGCCTCTAACTTGCCCCTTGTATCGCCCTGTCCAAATCAATCCTTGATTTTGAAGGGTGTGAAGTACCATTGTTACGGATACAAGAAAATAAGCGTTCTTGGGGACTAATACGCCTCAATGAATCAAACAACTTGAGTGACTTACATAATCTATAAACTATTTTTTCATCTTCTTCTATGTATTGAGGACAAGGAAAGGGGATCTTCCACTTGTCCATCCATTTGTCAGGGGCTGCATTGAAGTCTCCTCCATAATAATTGGGATTCCATCAAGTATATGTGTCCTTATGTTATTAAAAAAGTCAATTCTCTCTTGAAGATCATTAGGCCCATAAATGTTAACAACACAGACTAATTTTATTTCCAACATCACTAGTGCAGAGATCCATCTTCCCTGCTCTTGATCTGCCTCCCAGTATACAATCTCCACACGAGAGTTCACGAGGATCCAAGTAGTAACCCCCCCTGAACCGCTCCGTCTGGCATATGATGTTATTTTTTGGTGAGACCAGATCAGATTATGAGCCTTGCTATGGTCGGTTGAATCCGTGAGGTGGGTTTCATGGATGCAGATTAGGGCTGTCCAAGACCGACCCCCCACTCCCTTGAGTTGTTCCATGATGGCATGTCTCTTCTCCATGCCTGCTGAAGCCAATCCATTTACATTGAGGGATCGCAGGTCCAGATCCGCAATTTGAGAAGCACGACGCCACACAGGATTCTTCCCATAAAGTGCATGTAGTGCATCCATGACTAGCTCAACCAGTCCCTATTTACCCATACATGCTTCGATAGGTTTCACAGCCTCACCCAGCTGGTCGTTTATAATTCTGATGAGTACTAAAGAATTCCTTGTCGTAGCACTGTCCCCAAGAAAGTAGAAATCTCTATTATGGACCATTTTGAATCAATTGGAGATCCAATAGAGCCTGGTGAGAAAACCATTTTAGCCCTGCCTCTTTGTTCTCATCAGATCTTATAAACGTGTCTCTCTTGGCCATATATGCCTTTTCCCCTATATACGTCAATGTCGCTAGTGAGCCAGAGTTATAGTGTTTTGTGAGAAAATCATGTAAATCTCTTTTGAAGCTCTTGTCTCCTGCAGTCTGGTAATCCACATATGTGGTCCATCCTCGCAGGGTCATCCCCCCATATTGTGTTTGACCACTGGGAGAAAGACCAATCTCCCATTTGCCCCCCTTTTTCCGGATTGGGATTACCAAGTTCCTCCTGGATTACCAAGTTTCTCCTGGGGGGCTGCATCCTACACACCTAACCCTTCTCCAAAAGATGACGAAGTTTCTGCCGTTTCCCTGGATCCTGTTCTCCTTCTTGGATTTTGTTCTGATGAATTGTTGGAGAACATTTCAAGGGTGTGACATTTTTGTTTTTATTAATATTTATATCCTCATTATCATTTTTCTCCTCCATGACCCTGGTTAGGGAACTTGGTGGGGGCAGTGCTAGTTGCTTTCCATCAGAAAATACAGACTGACTTTCATCAGGAACAATCTCTTTAGTCCCACTTCCCCACTGGCTGTGCAACCAGACTCAAGACCCCTTGCGTTTCCAAGTTATGTATTAAACATTCCTTTCTGTTTGGGCACTTCTTGAAACTGTCATAGAGGGAAAAAAGTTAAAAAAACGACGTTTGTACAATGTTCAGAAGCCTCTTACTTACCACTTTCCACTGAACTTCCTCTAGTAGTCCTTTCTGGACTACCGTACACAAATTGGGACTGCTCATTAGTATATTTACTATTTAGTAATTGAGTGTGTGCATTGTCCCATAATTCAGTAGATTGAGAACCTCTTTCTTCTTTCAATCTTTTTTTTTTTTCTTAAGCAAAACCCCACCAGTGTTAGTGGTGTTGATAAAAGCAGACACCACTAGCACCTGGGGAGAGGCTCCATCTATCGGTGGGGAGCATCACCTGCTCGAAAACGGGTCCAGCGTCCCTTATACAGACTGAAATTGGGATACATCTGTCACACAATTGTGGGGCTATTTCTGCCAGCATTGATGACCCTGGGATCCAGGGGATTGACTGAGCAAGATATTGGAAGAAAAAAAAAAAAGGGGGGGGAACCTCTTCACCCTAAATCCGGCGCCAGATACACAGCTATACTCTAGTTCCTCCCCTTAAATTACGTTGAGTCCTTGCTAGCTGGAGACTGGGTCCAACGTCCCGTTACCTGCCCTGGTTCCATTTAGGAGATTCGGAAGGAGCCACTGGGGGGCACCAGTGGAGCCTCCTTTCGCCTCCCCTATTTTTGGAACATCAAGATGTTGGAAAGCAGAATAGGGCGGGGTTGAATTTCCACCACACCAGCAATCTAGATGTCTACATAAACACCCATGCAACATGTCTATCCACTCTTCAGTTGATTGCTTTGATCAGAGAGAGCGGGTGTGGAGGGAAAGGATCTGGGAAATCTGACGGGGGCCGGAGGGGGAAGGAAGGTTCAATGGTCGTCCAATCGTTGAAGCTCAGACGGTAGTCCCTGCATTCTACCAACTCCAGGTGTCGTTGGTCTTCCCTATTACCATCCCACTCAATCTTCGCCACCCATCCACCTCCTTCCCCCTCTAGCCAGTCCCCCCGGAAGGAGGAGATTGCCTTCCTTATATCGTGATTAGTCTGAAAACAGTCTAGCTGGCGCTTCAAGATTTGTCACCTTCCCATTAGTTCCAGCTGGAATTGTTGTTGGATCTGCTCTGTTACTTCAGGGCCTTCTACCTGCACATTCTCCCTGGCCAGGAGGTAACATTGCCACCAAAGCCCCCAAAGCACCGCTCTACGACCCAAATTGAACACGTTCTCTGTATACGTGGATGCCTCCTGGGCCTGGGGCCAGTATCCTAACAGTATCGCCCTCCAGGTCCAGGGCCATGGAGTGTCAGGAACCATCTTTCCCCAGATTATGTCCCACCATCGCCATGTGAGTTGTGCAGTCAGGCATTGCATAAAGACTGTTCAATGGTTTCTGCACTTCTTCGTGGAGGAAAGGTTCGCAGGCACCGTGTACACCAAGGGAGAGCCCGACCTTTCTGTTCCAGGTTTGTGTGGTTGATCAACCAATCCATTGTTGGCAGACACCGGTGTAGGGAGGTGATCTTTGCAGGTTTCTCTTTCCGCCCTTGGAACCAAGGTATCGGCGTCAAAAGGGAGCGGTCTACATTAAGGTGTTTTGTCCATTTGTCAATTATTTTATCTTTGAGATGGCGTTTGGGTCTGAGCATTTTGTATGTGGATTTCACCGTCAACTTCTAAAGACTAATCACAGCAGTAGGGTTGGCTCTGCGCCCTGTGGGTTTCCACTGCCATTCTATATTGTCAAGGGGGAGGTCCTGAATCCCGGTGTCAGGCTGAAATGGGCAGGCTTTCTCCCCTTCTCCAAGGACTCGGATTCAGAAGATATCTGCCTTGTCCTACCGGATAAAGGGGGCCCGACTCCCTTGCAACACCCCTGATCTGCTTACTGTGTGCATTTCCACCAGAGCGTCGTGCATCTGGGTTATATGCACTCTCCCTGCCTGATCAATGACCCCTCTTATCGCTACCCAGTCCCCCTCCTATAGTGATGGGTCTCTCCTCAATACTCTGTACTAGGATAGCTGCACTGCCTGAATAAGCATGTCTAAATTGTGATCAATGTGGTGGCCGTACCTCAAGGACTCGTGTAGTTCGTCTGTTGTTTTCCAGCTGCCTCGGTCGCAGTCCCAGATATCCTTTAAGCGGGTAACCCCATTCTTAACCCAGTTTTTCCATGGGGCCGTCGAACTGCACATTACCTGGCTGTTCCTGTCAGTGAGCCAGCGATTTCCAAAGAGGGGTTGGCGAAGCACCTCCTCCCACCGGTCCGGATATTACCTGTTGGGGAGGGGGAAGTTTCCGCCAGCTTCGCAGAAGCGACAACCAAAAATCGTCCATTTATTCTCTGGTCTCCCCCCGTCTGCGTGACCACCTTCGCAGAATAGCTCAGTAGTGGTCCTCTAACCAGGTGAGGGGGTGTACCCCCGAGGGAACCAGGGGGGCTATGCGGGTTCAGTGTCCTAAGGCCAAAGGTTTCCAGGGGTTGTCCTTAATCCATTGTAGTCAGAGTGTTGTAGTTTGTGTTGCGGGGTGATCAGAAGCCACTTTGCCAATTGATCGAATTTTTGGTCCTCTGGAATCAGATCTTCTGGTGTAACCAGTGATATGTTGATCTGTTCTTTTCCAAGCTCTGTATTTGAGATGGGTAAAACATATTCCGTCTCAGAGGGAGGGTCTATATTTCTATGACCGGGACCAAATGCCTCCTGAAAGGGGTCATCTGCTTCACCCCTCTGTATATTCCATGCAGCGGGCCTTCATCTGCCCTGGCCTACAGCCAGGGCCTATTTGGCTATTTGCCAGTTCGGCCTGTGGGACCAGGTCGTGGCCTGACCCCACAGGCCGTGTGATGTTTCAGTCCTGCCCGGTACCACTGTCGGTACCAGGCCAGTCCAGTCAGTCAATCCGCTGGGGGTATACCCCAGCTATACTCTGTTTTTCACTCATTCTTCATTTGCGCAGATTGGAGTACGTGCGTGTTGAGTCTGCGTTGGAGCTGCGCTGTCCCTTCCAGCTCCA